ACTACGGCACAGCAGCAGCAGCCTAAGCATGGGGGTGGGGTTAGTGAGGGACGGGAGAAGTGGAAAGGGGCTAAGGATGGCCAGTCAAAGGGGGGGAAAGGAGGGTTCAAGGGGAATTTCTACGTGTGTGGGCAGCCAGGGCATATCGCTAAGTACTGCCGGCAGCGGGCGGATAAAGAAGCAGTCAAGGGTGGAGAGGGTTCTGGAGGCAACAGCGCGAGTGGCAAGGGGGGTGATGGCTCTAAGGGGAGCGGGCAGTCATCATGTGCGATGGTGAAGCCCGTTATAGTGCATCCTCCTCCCGTCATGCTGGAGCCTGAGGCCGGGGAGGGCTTACAGGCTGTTGCAGCTGTTGTAAAGGCGAACCCGAGCGTCATGCTACTTGATAGCGGATGCTCCCACCATCTTATGGGACATCGCTCTGCCTTTGTGGAGATGAGCAGCGACGGCGGTATCAAATATGTTATCGGCTTCAACGGCGCTCCTCAGGAGGTGCAGGGGCGAGGCACAGTCGCTCTCCTTGGAGACGGGGGCAGGCGTGTCTTGGTGTCGGACGTGCTGTACGTACCTGGAGTGCAGGCGAGACTTCTTTCTGCTGGGCAGCTGTGTGATAGTGGCGTGCAGCTGCTGGATGCCGGAGACGTGAATCTGCTGCGTGTGCCAGATGGGTCGCTCCTTGGTCGTGCGGAGTTCAAGGGACGTGTCCTCTGCACAAACTTCCAGCCATGCTCGACGCAGCAGCAGGAGGGTGAAACGGTGGCCCTGCGCACTTTGGCGACGGGCGTGCGATCTAAGGTGGACAAATGGCATGCGCGCCTTGCACACATTGGTGTTGGTGCGGATCACGGGTCAGTGACGGGCTTCGAGTTGGAGAAGGGGGGCAAGTCAGGCATGCCATGCGTCTCTTGTGTTGGGGGGAATATCACCCGTCATACCTTTCCTTCTGTGGGAGAGGAGGAGGATGAGCTGCTTGGAGTGGTGCATGCTGACCTGTGTGGCCCTTTTCGTGAAGCAGCTAAGGACAGCAGCCGCTACCTTTTGGTGCTGAAGGATCGCAAGACGCGGTACGTCTGGGCCTACCCTTTGGCCAAGAAGAGTGATGCACTGGCGGCATTCCAGAAGTGGCTCCCGATGGCAGAGCGGCAGTGTAAGACCACAGTGAAGGTGCTGCGCACTGATCGGGGTGGCGAGTTCCTGGGACACGACTTCACGCTCTTCCTTGACGAGAAGGGGATCATCCACGACCTCACGTGCCCGTACATGCTGGAGCAGAATGGGATGGTTGAGAGGGAGATGCGCAGCATTGTGGAGGCGGTGCGAACGATGTTGCTGCACATGGGTGTGCAGCATCACTGGTGGCACCTGGCGCTGTTACAGGCCGTCTGGGTGCGCAACCGCGTGGAGCACGCCTCGCTGCCCTCTGGTGTGACGCCGTACAAGCTTGCCTTCCAACGCAAACCCGATGTCAGTATGGTGCGTGTTTGGGGCTGCATCCTGCAGTATATGGTGCCGCAGTCGCAGCGCGGGGGGAAGCTGGCGCCTAAGGCTCGCTAGGGGTTGCACTTGGGGGTGTCAGCAGCGAGCAAGGGCTGGCAGGTGCTGGACTCGGAGTCCAACCGCCTCATCACCACTGTGGAAGCAGTTGTCTATGAGACCATGTCCTTGGCAGGATGGAAGGCTTAGCATCAGCAGGAGCATGGGGGGCGTCCGATGCCCTATGAGCCCCTTCCTTCACTCTTCCCAGGCACTCTTGAGGAGGAGGTGGAGGAGGAGGAAGTGGTCGCACCTCCTGCTATGCGCTATGTCCCTACCTCAGTCCCCACCCCACCTCCTCCTATAGTGTACACTCGTGTGGTTCCTCCTACTGCGTTTCCTCCATCCTCACCCCCCTTGGCTACCCCTCCTCCTCCTGTTATTCCCTCTCCTCTTCCACCCTCCATCCTTCCTGCACCTGGCCCACCCTCCTCTTCGTCTTCCACGGCGCCGCTCGTTGGTGAGGGGGGGACAGTGGTGTCGCTGTTTGTGATGATCACCGACAGGCAGCGCCTTGTGACTGAGTAGCTGCAGGACAAGAGCAGCATGGATGGAGTGCAACAGAGTGGGGGACAGGAGACAGGGGAGCGGCAGATTGGGGAGCAGCAGATAGGGGAGGAGCAGATAGGGGAGGAGCAGATTGGGGAGCAGCAAACAGGGGAGCCGCAGACAGGGGAGCAGGAGATGTGGGGAATTAGAGATGGTGGTCCCGTGCTGGTTTCTGGGACGATCACTGCACCGCCGCTGCGTTGCTCCACTCGCATCACTCGTGGTGTCCCGCCAGTTAAGTATGCTCGGGCAGTAGTGATTGAGCCGGCAGGTTTGGATGATGAGGAGGAGGACGAGTGGACGGACCTGGACCCAGATGTGGTGGCCGACCCTGAGAGGCAGTGGGATATAGCTAAGATGACAGTGAAGGAGGCCTTGGGCTGCTGGAAGGGCGACAAGGTGAAGGAGGCAATGGACGAGGAGATGCGGAGCTTGATTGAGCAGGGGACGTGGGAGTTGGTTCCGCGTCCTCCAGGGGTGAATGTGATGAAGAACCGCTGGATTTTGAACACCAAGTTCCGACCGGATGGAATAGTGGAGCGTGAGAAGGCGAGGCTAGTGGTGAAGGGGTTCACGCAGGTGGTAGGGGTGGAGTATGAGGAGACGTACGCCCCTGTAGGAAGCTATGTGACGGCGCGTGTGCTTCTGGCGATCGCAGTTGCACTCGATTTAGACCTGATGCAGCTGGATGTGAAGAACGCGTTCCTCCATAGCGTGCTGGACCGAGACCTTTACATGGAGCAGCCGAGCTACTACGAGGATGGGAGTCCTCGTGTCTGTAAGTTGGTGAAGAGTCTGTATGGGCTCAAGCAGAGCCCGATGTTGTGGTATGAGGCCTTGGATGGGGTGCTGCTTGGGGCTGGATGGAAGAAGAGCCAAGTGGATGAGGCTCTCTACTTCAAGAGTGATGCTGAGGGGGAGATGTGCTGGCTGCTGGTGTATGTGGACGATTTGCTTGCTGCCAGACGCAGTCAGAGCATGCTAGGGGAGCTGCGTGACCTGCTGCAGAGTGCCTTTCAGATGCGGGAGATTAGCCCTGTGGAGAAGTATCTGGGGTTGCAGCTGGTTCGCGACAGGCCTACGAGGAGGCTGTGGCTGCACTAGGGGGCCTATGTGGACAAGGTCCATAGGCGCTTCTTTGATGGGGAGCAGCTGATGCGAGTGCCTCGCACCCCTCTTTCCTCTGAACCTTTCAATGTGCAGACCTTCGAGGATGTGGGATGGCAGTCTCGCCAGGAGGAGGAGTACAGACAGAAGGTGGGATCCTTGCAGTTTGCGGCCTGTACCACCCGTCCCAACATCTCATTCGCCTGCAGCAATTTGGGGTCGGGCCAGACTGTGCGGAGTGGTCAGCATTAGAAGGAGTTGGACCGGTGCTTGGCGTACATGGTGGGGAGCAGGGATGTGGCGCTGGAGTTTGGTGGTGGGCCGGAATCCTTGGAGCTGGTGGGCTACGCCGATGCTGATGATGCAGGGGACAAGCAAAACAGGACCAGCACTGGTGGCTAAGTCTTCGTAGTCGGGGGCGCTGCTGTCTCTTCGGCGAGTCAGAGGATTCGCTGCGCCACCCTCTCCTCCACCGAGTCTGAGTACGTTGCTGCTGTGGAGGCTGGGAAGGAGGCGCGCAGGCTGCGCTTCCTGCTCGCAGAATTTCAACTGCTGAGGAGTGAGGAGCCCACTACTCTCTTTGTGGATAACTCCTCCGCCATTACAGTGGCAGGTGGCATGGGGCTCAAGGGGAGCCTCAAGCACATGGAGCGTCGCCACATATGGCTGCAGCACATAGTCAAGCTCAGGAAGCTGCAGCTGCAGTACATCCCTACGAACGAGCAGCTGGTTGACTACCTTACCAAGGCGTTGCATTTCCCCGCCTTCAGCCGTTGCTTCGAGGCTGTGAGGCAGGTGAGGCTCTCGAGTGAGGGGAGTGAGACCTAGACACTCCATGATGGGGATGGTGCCATGGCCTATCCATAGCTGGTGCGGTGCGTGTTTGCACTTTGAGAGTGCTTCGTTTGTATGTGTGTCCCTTTCTTTTGGTATGTATGCGTGTATGCATGCCCTGTGACTATTAAGGGCCTTGCTGTAGTATGGCAGGGGAGTGTTAGAGGGCCCTACGACAGCAAGGGCCCTCGACGACCTTGACTCGGCAAGATGGCGACTAACGACCAAGACTCCTAGCTGTTCGGCACCAACGCGACGGTGTAATGATGGTTTCGTATTGACCGGGTGTGACTGCTAGCAGCTGCATGAGAATCGGTGCAGGGTGGCGTGAGTCTTGGGAGTAAGGTGTGCTTCTTTGAGAGTCACGCCACTCCTTGCAGTGTTGGCTGGAGTGGCGTGCACGGAATGCATTTCGCTGCTAAGTTGGATGGAAGTTCGGCGGGGCGCGTTCACCCACCCGCACACCACTTTTGTGGGGTTGGGTTACACCGAAGCGCCACGCAACATTTGTGCAACTCTTGCTTGCCTATATTTGCATGTGTGTTTGCTTTTGTATTCGTGGATCATATTACATTTCTTGTGAGGTCAAATTGCTACTTGAATTCTCACTAAGTCCTTGGAGACGAACGCTACTGAAACGCTACCGAGTTGCTGGCGCAACACCATTCTCATATCAGAAACTCTCTCGCTATCGCTACGCTCTCCATAGTATTCATTCATTCTTAACCTCAACGAACACGCCCCTCGCCTGCCGCGCGCCCGCCGCCCGCGCCGCACCTACTACGCCGTGCGCCGCGCGCAGCGACGGCGGGGTGGAGGCGGCGGAGGGCACGCGGCCGATAGTGAGCGCACCCGGGAGCGCGACAAGGGTGCTGAGTCGGTGTTTCTGGGCTGAGTCGAAACTCCATGGCGGAGATGATGCGGAAATCAGCAGCTGTGAGGTTTGCGGAGCTGATCTGCCCGAGCATGCGATCCGATCAAAGCTCGCCGCGCCTCGCGCCAAGATGGAAAAGGACAGCATGGGTGACGCGAAGGAGGAGCGAGTGAGGAGGTCTGATGCTGCTGGTGGTGCTTGCAGTGACGGTGAGGCGTGAGAAGAGGGCGCGAGGGCGAATGGCCGTGCTGGGTGTTGGTGGACGCGCGGCAACGATGCGGCGGATCCGAGTGAGGCGGCGACGCGCGGCGTGCGCGGGAGTGCGGAGCGGGCGGCGAATGCGGCGGCGGTGGCGGCGCGGAAGTGGCGCGCGGATGAGCGAAGAGTGGACGCCATGAGTCCTGTCCCCTGCGACGCGAACAAGGAACAAACGGGTGCTATGTTCTGGCTTGAATCAAGTTGGACTGATCCGTTCCAGTTGCACGTAATACTACCGTCATCACCCGGATATAAGACAGTGTTGAATAGTAGACAGGGGTTGTCTACTATACGGGTGTCTCTTATAAACAGGCTAGCCTCATTATAAGACACCTATTTGTGTGTATGAGATAAGACATATATGTCTTATAATCGAAACTTCAATAAATTATAGCGAAAGTTGAAGTACCGCGTACTTTTTTACCCTTGCGAAGCGCGAATTCTTCCACGCGCTGACCCAGGACCTACCAAATTTGCCCCTGCAGGTGTTCTCCATAACGTGGCGTCTCGGGCAGAGGTTATCGAAGTGGCACCTTCGCAACATCCACACGCATTATGAGAAACTCTTTTTAAAGAAGTACGGAAAATATTTCTAAGTAGTTTAAAAAGTTTCCATTTATAAGACTTATAAGACACCCTAAACCATCCCGTTTACAAGATAACTCAAGCATTTTTGCCCGTGTACAAGATAAGACATATATGTCTTATATCCGGGCGATGACGGTATGCTTAGTAATATAAACTCTCATCAAAAGATGTTTGATTGCGGATTAGTGTGCTTCTCTCACGTTCACTCTACAAGCGTTTTTAGTCATTTTTTTGCTGTCACTCTGAATATATCCATACCTCAAGGCCTAGTAAGTCAGGTAGGCTGTTACACATGTAATGCATTGAAGAATGAGGATCCTTGGATGTCTTGTACAGTGACCTTTTCATACCGTAGTGAATATAATAATAAGGGGGGATCAACACACACCATAATGTGTTATACTCAGGGAAATGCCGTACAAAACAAGTTCCAAATGGTGCACCTGAGCGAACTGAGTTGACGCACAGTCCCCATTGGGTCCCTCTCACATAATGTGATGTGGGTTACGACAACAGAGGGATTCGAGCTTGCGAATTTCACAATCTAGACTTGGGCCTGTTACCGCCTTCAAGATTACCCATTTCCTTCGCCCTCTCCCTCAAAACAAACTTTTGAATCTTGCCCGTCGCGGTCTTGGGCAGCTCGGTGAAAACTACCGTCCGGGGCGCCATATAATGCGGCAGGTGGTCGCGGCAAAACGCGATAATATCCCCCTCGCCCACTCGTGCGTGCTGCTGCCCTGGCTTGCGGCACACAAAGGCGCACACAGACTCCCCCCACATGGTATCAGGGCGGACCACGACTGCAGCCTCCAGCACGGTGGGGTGGCGGTACAGCACTGCCTCCACTGCTATGCTGCTCACGTTCTCCCCGCCCGATATGATTATGTCCTTAGAGCGATCCCGGTGGGGGAAGGGAAGGGTGGCGTGCCCAAGAGAGTGGGAGATGTGGGGGGTCGGGAGGGTGTGGGGATACAGCACTGCCTCCACTGCTATGCTGCTCACGTTCTCCCCGCCCGATATGATTATGTCCTTAGAGCGATCCCGGTGGGGGAAGGGAAGGGTGGCGTGCCCAAGAGAGTGGGAGATGTGGGGGGTGGGGAGATGTGGGGGGTGGGGAGATGTGGGGGGTGGGGAGATGTGGGGGGTGGGGAGATGTGGGGGGTGGGGAGATGTGGGGGGTGGGGAGATGTGGGGGGTGGGGAGATGTGGGGGGTGGGGAGATGTGGGGGGTGGGGAGATGTGGGGGGGTGGGGAGATGTGGGGGGTGGGGAGATGTGGGGGGTGGGGAGATGTGGGGGGTGGGGAGATGTGGGGGGTGGGGAGATGTGGGGGGTGGGGAGATGTGGGGGGTGGGGAGATGTGGGGGGTGGGGAGATGTGGGGGGTGGGGAGATGTGGGGGGTGGGGAGATGTGGGGGGTGGGGAGATGTGGGGGGTGGGGAGATGTGGGGGGTGGGGAGATGTGGGGGGTGGGGAGATGTGGGGGGTGGGGAGATGTGGGGGGTGGGGAGATGTGGCCTGCTGCAACAAGCGTGCCGATTCAGATACTGCTCGTCATCTCGTCAAGCAAGACACGGCCAATGCACCTGTCAAAGACGGACATCGCAAGCCCGTTGCAGCAGGCCACCTTCATCTTGTCATCCGACCTGCATGTGTAGCGCGACTTGCCAGCCAGCTTCATCTCGCCCATCCACCTTTTTCCGCCGCTCGTCCTTTCCTGCCTAACACCATGTCCCTTGCGATCCCTTTCCCACCTTCGCCTTCGCTTTCGAAGCAGTGGCTTTTCCCTTCAGTTTCACCATTCCCCAGCCGCTCATACGCCTACGTCAGCCCGTACGCATGCAACACTTCAAACTCCATCACCTCCATCCACAACCAATGCACCTCTACCTACCCCCCACCCACCCTCCACCCGCCACACCACATGCACCATGCACTGCACACCTCTAATCCTGAACCTCCACCCCCCATTCCACCCAGTACGCACCATCCACGCCTCACCTCACCTGTCTCGCCTTGAGCCTTGCTTGCTCGCTCTCATCCGCCCCTCGCCACCGCTCTTGCTGCCACTCGCACACCACAGCCGGCCCATATGTCTCTGTCAGCCCGTACGCATGCAGCACCTCAAACCCCATCCATCGCCTCTATCCCCAACCAACGAACCTGTACCTAATCCCCACCCACCACACACCTTGCACACCTTTAGCTATACCCTTCACCCCCCACCCACCACACCAGGTGCACACCTGTCGTGCCTTGAGCCTAGCCCGTTCGCTCTCATCTGCGCCCCGCCATCGCTCATCCTGCCACTCGCACACCACAGCCGGCCCGTACGTCTCCGTGAGCCCGTATGCATGCAGCACGTCAAACCCCATTGCCTCTATCCCCGCCAGCACTGCCGGCGGCGGCGCCGCCCCCGCTGTCATCACATGCACCCGCCTCGCCTTCTGCCTCCCCCTGTTGCTGCCCTCCCCATTCCCCTCACTATACCCATCCCTTCCACCTTCCCTGCTGCCCTCGCTATTTCCCTCCCATCTGCCCTCGCTATAGTCACTCCCCCCACGCCTCTGGCCGAGTTGGGCGGCGAGGAAGGGCAGGCGGAGGGAGTCGGGCGCGTGGATGAGGAAGGAGAGGACGACAGGGGCGGCGCACATGTGGGTGACGCGATGGCGGGGGATGAGAGAGAAAATGCTGCCCGCTGTGACCTGGTACGGGGGGGGGGGAGGCATGGTTGTGGGGAGTCAGGGGCGTGGATGAGGAAGGGGAGGACCACGGGTACCATGGGTGCGGCACACATGTTTGTCACTCGGTGGCGTGGGATCAGCGAGAATATGCTGGCCGCTGTGACCTGGTTGAGGGGGGGAAGTGGATCTGTGGGAAGGCACGAGGCGTGTGGTGAGTGAAAGAGCGACGGTTGTGGGCAGAGGGGGACATCCAAGCAGAGGCGCGCACATGCTTCTCATCTCACATGCTTCTCATCTCACATGCTTCTCATCTCACATGCTTCTCATCTCACATGCTTCTCATCTCACATGCTTCTCATCTCACATGCTTCTCATCTCACATGCTTCTCATCTCACATGCTTCTCATCTCACATGCTTCTCATCTCACATGCTTCTCATCTCACATGCTTCTCATCTCACATGCTTCTCATCTCACATGCTTCTCATCTCACATGCTTCTCATCTCACATGCTTCTCATCTCACATGCTTCTCATCTCACATGCTTCTCATCTCACATGCTTCTCATCTCACATGCTTCTCATCTCACATGCTTCTCATCTCACATGCTTCTCATCTCACATGCTTCTCATCTCACATGCTTCTCATCTCACATGCTTCTCATCTCACATGCTTCTCATCTCACATGCTTCTCATCTCACATGCTTCTCATCTCACATGCTTCTCATCTCACATGCTTCTCATCTCACATGCTTCTCATCTCACATGCTTCTCATCTCACATGCTTCTCACATGCTTCTCACATGCTTCTCACATGCTTCTCACATGCTTCTCACATGCCTCACTCTCACATGCCTCACTCTCACATGCCTCACTCTCACATGCCTCACTCTCACATGCCTCACTCTCACATGATACACCCACTATACCACACTGCACTGTGCCACAATCTTCCCTCCACCCACACAACTGCCGCATGCACCTCTCTACAGCACACGTTGGTGCCAGCGACAGCAGAAACAACACCCCACCATGCCACACCCCACCATGCCACACAACCGTGTGCAGCCCAGGAGGGACTCACCCAGCAGCTGCACATGCTCATCCTGTTGCCTCCCTCTTAACCCACCTCTCTCGTCCTCCCATCTTCCTACCACCGCACCCATGCACCTCTCTGCAGCACACGTTGGTGCCAGCAACAGCAGCGAGCACCCAGGGGAAGGTCCAGCCACAGCACCGTGGCACACCCAACCATACCACACCCAACCCAACCTCACCACGCACCTCCCTACAGCACACATTGGTGCCGGCAACGGCAGCAAGCACCCAGGGGAAGGTTAAACCGTGGCACACCCCACCATACCGCACCCAACCTCACCACGCACCTCCCTACAGCAAACATTGGTGCCGGCAACAGCAGCGAGCACCCAGGGGTAGGTCCAGCCGTTGCAGTGGAAGAGAGGCAGCGTCCACAGGTACACGGGGCGCTGCCCGCTTGGCAGTGCGTGCAGCCCCCATGCCAGCACGTTGGCCAGGGCTGATAGGTATGCGCCCCTGTGCGAGCACACCACACCCTGGGGGAGGGGGGGAAATGGGGGAGAGACAGGGGGCGGTGGGGAGAAAAAGGTTCATAAGTGAGGCAGCGTCCAGAGATACATGGGACGCTGCCCCTCTGGCTGCGTATGCAGGCCCCATGCCAGTACGTTGGCCAGGGCTGATAGGTACGCGCCCCTGTGCGAGCACACCACGCCCTGGGGGAGGGGGGGAGAGGGAGAGAGTGAGAGGCAGCGTCCAGAGATACACGGGGCGCTGCCTGCCCCCCTGGCTGCGCGTGCAGGCCCCATGCCAGCACGTTCGCCAGGGCTGATAGGTACGCGCCTCTATGTGTGCACACCACGCCCTGGGAGAAAAGGGGGAAAGAGTGTGGTGACGGGGGGAAAAGGTTCATCAAGAAACGGCAGTGCCCACAGGTACACGGTTTTTGAGAGGCCTGATACGAAGAGAAGCAGTCCACAGGTACACGGGGAGCTGGCTGACCGCCTGGCTGTGCATGCAGGCCCCAAGCGAGCACATATGACAGGGCTGATAGATACGCTCCTCTATGTGTGCACACACACCGCGCCCTAGAGGTGGCGGAAGCTGAAGAGAGAGGGAAGAGATGGGTGGAAACATTTGTTACGGAGAGAAGCAGCAGCCGCAAGTGCACGGGCAGCAATGCTTGTGTTGCTTCAAAGGATCCTCGAATGTGACACAAGCTGCAGCGTCCAGACCACGGGTACACGGGGCGCTGTCCCCCTGGCAGCAAGCCTAGAGCCTAGCCCCCATGCTAGCACGTTGGCCATGGTTGGCAACTACGCGCCCCCCTATGGGAGCACACCACACACTGGGGGATGGGGGATGGGGAAGCGGAGGAGGGGGAGGGGAGGAGAGAGGGGAGGAGAGAGGGGAGGAGAGAGGGGAGGAGAGAGGGGAGGAGAGAGGGGAGGAGAGAGGAGAGGAGAGAGGGGATGAGAGAGCGAAGGGAGAAGGTGAGGGGGAAAGCACAAGGAAAATCAAAGCAGGGGGAAGTGACAGAGAGGCAATACAGGGGTACAGTGAAGACGAGTGTGCAGGCCCCATGCACGCACCTCCACCCACAATGACATCCCACTCATCCTCTCCACTGTATGGTGCAGGCGCATGGGGCCTGCACCTGCACCACACCCCCTCTCCCACCCTGTTCCTTTCGAAAAATCTCAGAAACATTACCTTGGGGTGGGCAGTGGTTTTTGAGTGAACTATAAGAGAATTCTCAGAAGAGCACCTTGGGTTGGGCAGTGGTGCCTGATGTGTAGTTGAGTGTAATGGCATCCCACTCGTCCTCCACCACGCCCCTTCTCCTGCCCTCGCCCTGCCCGCCCTCTTCTCCACCCTCCCACTCCCACTCGTACCGCTCATCCCCCTCCCCCACCAGCTCCTCATACGTCACCACTCCCCCCCTCTCCCCTCCCCCTCCTCTTCCCCTGACCCCTCCCCTTCCCCCTCCTCTGTTCAGTGATGCTGCCAGGGCTGCCACGTCAGCAGCGCTGCCACCTGGATCGCTCTGATCGAATGGCTCCACGTCAGCATCTTCGATGATGACAACCTGGAAAGGAAAGGGCGGGCGGTAGTGGAGGGTTGGGTGAAGGCAGGGCATGGTACATGCACGAAAACAGGGAGATGGGGGCAACAAGCCAATCTTATATATATGTTAAAGAAATGGAGAAGGGGAGATGGGGACGGAGAGAAGACGAACGGCGAGAACAAGTATAACTTGCGCCAACATCACACATGACACGTCACACATGACACGTCACACATGACACATCACACATGACACGTCACACATGACACGTCACACATGACACGTCACACATGACACGTCACACATGACGCGTCACACATAACGCGTCACATGACGCGTCACACATGACACGTCACACATGACACGTCACAAATGACACATCACAAATCACACATCCAAACTCACCCACCAGAACCACCCACCTGTGGCATGCCTGACAGACGCCCCTTCTCCCGCAGCAGGCCTGGCAGCAGCAGCAGGCCTGGCAGCAGCAGCAGCACGTCAGTGAGCAGTGGCGCGAGGGAGCGGTGCGCCATGACCAGGCGGGCAGAGCTTTGGGCGAGGATGAGGGCGACAGTGCTGCTTCTCACATGACACATCACACCCCACCCACCACACCCCACCCACCACACCCCACCCACCACCAACCAACACCACCCACATCACATCACACCACCCAGCACCACCCACCTGTGGGAGGCCTGACAGACGCCCCTTTTCCCGCAGCAGGCCCGGCAGCAGCAGCAGGGCGTCAGTGAGCAGTGGCGCCAGGGAGCGGTGCGCCATGACCAGGCGAGCAGCGCCGTGGGCGAGGATGAGAGCGACGGTGCGGGCGTCCAGGCGCGTGTTGATGGCATTGAGAATAGCCCCCGCCATGGGCACACCGAAATGTGCTTCATACAGAGCTGGCACGTTAGGTGCCAGCACTGAGACCTGGCGGGAGAAGGTGGGAAAGGGCGGGGGGAGGAGGGAACTGGGAGGATTGATGAGAGTGAAAGGTCGCGTGTCCAAGCTGGTACGTTGGGCGCTTGCACTGCCACCTGAGGAGGGGTGGCGGATGGGGGGATGAGGAGAGGATGAGGGCGACGGTGCGTGCGTCCAGACCGTGATGGGTTGGAGGGAGTGGGTTGAGGGGAGGGGGAGGGGGAGGGGGGAACAAAATTTTCGTTCTACCACGTCTTTGGTCCAGATGCACCACGGACGAAGGTGTTTGAGAGCATTGAGGTAAGCAGCAAGTCGTTGATACACTGGCAAGTCGGGTGGTGTTGGCACGCAGTGGCAGCACTACCCGACTTGCCATTGCATGCCAACACCACCTGACTTGCCAGTGTATCAACGACTTGATACTTACCTCAATGCTCTCAAACACCTTCGTCTGTGGTGCATCTGGACCGTAGACGTGGTAGAACGAATATTTGGGATTCATTCCATCACGAGACTGATGTAATACGGTGTGCTTGTCCCGGCATGTGACCACCCCCGTGTGAACCTTTTGTAACGGGCGGCATCGTACGATTGCACGGATGCTGCCCTTTAAGACTGCATGAGTGGGGGGCAACAGGAAACGAAGGATTTAAAATTACATTTTTTGTATTGCACCATAGCAATGTGAATGGTGAGTGGCGCCACTCATCCTATATGGTGCGTTTGCCACTTCCCCAACCTGATAACGTTGGAAAAAGGACGCAACCCCAATCAACGGATGGACGGACGGACGGACGGACGGACCGTGTCGTACTTCCCGATGCCTGACATGGGATGCTGCCACGGCCGGCGTTGCTGGGAGCAGGTCCACGCGCCACGAGGCGGCGCTGCTGGGCAACGGCCTCTTGGATCTGCGCGGTACCACAGCCACGCAGCGCCAGCCACGTTCGGCACAACACATCAAAGGATACAGTAACCCTGCATGGTGGGTTCGCCACACTTCCCCCAACCAGACGTTGGAAACACGAAGCAGACTCAACCGACAGACAAACGGATGGACGGACGGATGGACGGACGGATGACGGATGGACGGATGGACTGACGGATGACGGATGGACTGACAGACGGACGGATGGACGGACCGTGTCGTTCTTCCCGATGCCGCGGCGGCGCAGCGCGGACGCGAGTTTGCAGCAGCGGCGGTACGTCTGAAGCCACGTCCACGATTGGTCGCCGTACACCACGGCGCATCGGTCGCCGTGCACGTCGGCGGCGCGGCGGATGAAAGTCAACGGAGTCAACGGCGCGTAATTCGCCGCGTTTCGCGGAAGCGCGTCGTTATCGAAAAGACTAGAACTTGTCATGGCTGCCTAGGGGGAAAAAAAGTAGTCACGCGCGAATACCGCGCGAATAAACGCCCGAATGACGACCAAATAACGCGCGGATTTCGGCAATGACTCGGTATGCTCTCTGCGAACGCGCAAATTTTGGACGAATTTCTTTTCAAAAAAAAAGAAAGCAGGAATTTCGGGAGGAAAAGGAAGAGTAAGTAGGAGGGGATTCGCGATGTGGTGTGATGAACGGCGTGCAGTGCGGAGAAAAAAGGGGGGATGGAAGAAAGTCTTCGGACACTGACTGGCTGACTGGCTGACTGGCTGGCTGATGGTGGAAAGCGGGGTGAGTGACGTGGTGCGATCGATCGTGACAAGGCGAGACGTGGTAGGGAAAACATCGCGTATGAAAATATATACGAGAAGCTCGGCTCAACTTCGTAGTTCAATAATAACTGCGAGGATCTATTTAATGCGTACACATCGGACCTTGTTTGGCCGCTTCAACCAATGGGCGACTTCGTGAAGTGTCACAAAAACGAAGAGAGTATGTCCTCCCGTATCTCCAGCGTGGCAGCCTGCATCAACGAATGCGTATGAGTGTTGTTTCAAATGACCAATGACGAGCCCTGTTCGATGTGAAGTCAGCTGTAACAACCTGAGCCTCAGGAATGGTGTACAATTACGCAAAAACGGTTTATTTCAGAAAGCGTTTCGCATTTTTTTGGGATTATTAGGGGTTCAGATTACAAAGAGGACGGATCAAACCATCCATCCCAACCGTTTTTGGCCAATTGATGTGTCTTCTGATGCAAGTTTGTGCAGCCGAAGCGGGCGGCTTGGCAGGCGACAGCCCGTTACTCAACATCAGCTTTGAATTGAATCCCTCGCGTATACTTACCGATGCCTCGCCCGCAGTCATTCCCTAGTAGTAGCTTCCTCTCACGTCGGCCTCACCTTGTTTTCATTCGACGCGCCGCGAGTTAGGAGCCGCTGCCGCCCAACGCGCGCCGCGCTTTAGAGTCCTGTCAGGGCGCTGAGGATCGGACCGTGCTAGCTCACTAGCACCCGTAATACCGCTACTCCTATTCGCGGGTCCCGCGCCGCCGTAATTTGCGCATAGTAGTATTACAAGCGCGAGCCATGGCGACGCTGTGGAATCGCGTGCAGCGCATGTGGCGGGACCGGTGGCTGGGGCTCATTCTCGGCATGTGGCTGCAGGCGTGCGGGGGGATCTCGTACGCGTTCTCGTTATACTCCGCCGCGTTAAAAGACAAGCTACAGTACTCGCAGGAAGCAGTGGACGGCTTAGGAACGGCGAAGGATATCGGCGGGAATGTGGGGATTGTATCGGGGCTGCTCATCGACCTCATGCCCGCGTGGGCCATCCTCGCTATAGGCGCCGGCATGCATCTGTTCGGGTACTCCATGGTACACTTATCCTCGCTATAGACGCGCACTGAACATTACACTGAGTGCATCCGTGCATCAGCTTAGTACTTCCATCGGCACAATGCTCTCTCCTCTCATCCCTTCTCTCCTTTTCTGCTCCGGCCCCCTCTCCTCTTTCCCCCGTTCCATCCCATTCCACTTGCACTCCCATTCCCCTGCTCCACACCTTTCCAGGTCTCACCTTCTCACCACCTCCCTGTTCCGCCTCCTCCCACCCCCTCGCCCTCTCACCCCCCGCCGCCCCCCCCCCCCTCCCCCCTCGCTCATCCCTCTCCTCCCCATCCCTCCATCTCCCCCTCCCCACCAATCACCACATGCCAGCTGTACATGGCGTCGATGGGGATCACCCGCCCTCCGTTCTGGCAGGTGCGTTTCCCCCCCAGCTCTTCCACAGGAGATGGAGGTAGAAGCACAGGCCTATGCAATGCAAGCACAGGCCTTTGCCCCACGCCATGACTTGCCTGTGCAAGTTATCCAGGTCAGGCGAGTCATGCCAGGCGAGTCATGCCAGGCGAGTCATGCCAGGCGAGTCATGCCAGGCGAGTCATGCCAGGCGAGTCATGCCAGGCGAGTCATGCCAGGCGAGTCATGCCAGGCGAGTCATGCCAGGCGAGTCATGCCAGGCGAGTCATGCCAGGCGAGTCATGCCAGGTGACTGACTGACTGTTTCTATTAGTGCAATATTGTGTTTCCTTCCAATGTCTTCAACCGTGTGTCCGTGTGTCCGTGTGTCCCTGCGGCCAACCCAATCCATCCACTGTGTGTGGTTGCTGTGCCTTTCCTCATCATGTGCTGGGTCGCATGGTCACATGGTCGCATCGCATGGTCGCATGGTCACATGGTCGCATCGCATGGTCGCATGGTCACATGGTCGCATCGCATGGTCGCATCGCATGGTCGCATGGTCACATGGTCGCATCGCATGGTCACATCATCCCATGATCTCATCTCATCCATGCCATGGCACCTCGCAGATGTGTGCATTCATCATGCTGGGCACCAACGGAGCCACGTGGTTCAACACTGCCGTGCTCGTCACATGGTGAGCCCCCTTCCGTGCTCGTCATGTCGTGAGGCCCTTTCCCCCATCCCGCCCTTTCCCCGCCGCGCCCCGTCCCGCCTCTCTCGTTTCCCCCCAACACCAAGTTTTCAGCTCTCCCGTGCTGTTCTCCCAACATCCCCCTTCCCCTGTCCTCTCCCACCCTCCCCCTTGCTGCGCAGCATTCGCAACTTTGAGGGCGACAGGGGCGTGGTGGTGGGGCTGCTCAAGGGGTTCATAGGGCTCAGTGGGGCTATCTTCACGCAGGTCGGACAGATTGAGGGATGGGAATGGCTGTGGGGCCGGGAGGGATGAGAATGTGTGTGAAGTGAGGATGAGAGTGCCGGCAGTAGCTGTGTTGAAAACGGAAGGCAGTACCTGCGGTGACTTTTGAGTCGACTCAAAAGTCAGATTGAGGGATGGCTATGGCTGTGGGGCCGGGAGGGTTGGCAATGCGTGTGAGGATGAGAGTGACGGCAATAGCTGTGAGGAAACGGAAGGCAGTACCTGCGGTGTGGGGGCGACAGGGTGGGTGGTGGGGAAGGGTTCCGGCTCTCCGCCCTCTATGCGCCCCGCACATGGTGCCCCTCCTTCTGCTCTGCGCACTGCTGCCCACTGGTGGCCTTGCTCGCCATAGCAGCCTGCCATTCATCCCATGGAACCACGTGTGCATCCCATGGACCCACGTGTGCATCCCATGGACCCACGTGTGCATCCCATGGGCCCACATGTGCATCCTGTGGACTCCACTCCACCCACCGCCTCCTAATATATATCTCCAAATCGCCCCTCCTCCTCCTTCAATGTCCACCCCCCTCGCACACAGCTCTACTCTGCGCTCTATTCACCTCACACGGCGCCCTTCCTGCTGCTCTGTGCGCTGCTGCCACCGCTGGTGGCGCTGCTGGCGATGGCAGTCATTCGCCCCATGAACCCTCACCTGCTGGCCGCTGCAAAGAGAGACAGTGGGGACAGCACCCGGTTCAGCTTCCTCTATGTGCGTTTCCTGCCCCCCTTCCTCTCTGCTTGCTGCCGCCCTTCTTCCTCTATGTGCGTTGCCCCCCTTCCTCTCTGCTTTGCTTGCTGCTGCTTTGCGTTCTCCACTTGCCTTTGCCTGTCATCTCATGTCATTCGCCCCATGGACCGTCGCCTGCTCGCTGCTGCAAGCAGAAACAGCAGTGACATCACACCACTCGCTTCCGCTTCCTCTATGTGCTTGCGTTGCCTGCATCTCCCGCTGTGCCCTGCTGCTACATTTCGTGCCTCAATCGTCCATGCCTGTCACTTGTCCCCGCGTGCACCCTCACCACCCTCGTGCACATGGCATGGGTCCCTTGGCCCTGCTGCAGGTGGTGGGAGTGGGCCTAGCGCTCTACCTCATGCTCGCTATGACGCTGCAGGTGTGCTGTAGATCCGTAAAACCCTTGCTCTGCCTCATGCTCTGCCTCATGCTCTGCCCCATTCTCTGCCTGCCTCATGCTCTGCCTCATGCTCTGCCTCATGCTCTGCCTCATGCTCTGCCTCATGCTCTGCCTCATGCTCTGCCTCATGCTCTGCCTCATGCTCTGCCTCATGCTCTGCCTCATGCTCTGCCTCATGCTCTGCCTCATGCTCTGCCTCATGCTCTGCCTCATGCTCTGCCTCATGCTCTGCCTCATGCTCTGCCTCATGCTCTGCCTCATGCTCTGCCTCATGCTCTGCCTCATGCTCTGCCTCATGCTCTGCCTCATGCTCTGCCTCATGCTCTGCCTCATGCTCTGCCTCATGCTCTGCCTCATGCTCTGCCTCATGCTCTGCCTCATGCTCTGCCTCATGCTCTGCCTCATGCTCTGCCTCATGCTCTGCCTCATGCTCTGCCTCATGCTCTGCCTCATGCTCTGCCTCATGCTCTGCCTCATGCTCTGCCTCATGCTCTGCCTCATGCTCTGCCTCATGCTCTGCCTCATGCTCTGCCTCATGCTCTGCCTCATGCTCTTCCTCATGCTCTGCCTCATGCTCTGCCTCATGCTCTGCCTCATGCTCTGCCTCATGCTCTGCCTCATGCTCTGCCTCATGCTCTGCCTCATGCTCTGCCTCATGCTCTGCCTCATGCTCTGCCTCATGCTCTGCCTCATGCTCTGCCTCATGCTCTGCCTCATGCTCTGCCTCATGCTCTGCCTCATGCTCTGCCTCATGCTCTGCCTCATGCTATGCCTCATGCTCTGCCTCATGCTCTGCCTCATGCTCTGCCTCATGGTGGGAGTAGACCCCATGCCCTGGCTTATTATGCTCTACCGTATCCTCTGCCTCACGCCCTGCCTCATGCTCGTACCAGCTTCCAATCTGACATACATTTTTCATATTAATGCCATGTTTCGTATGCTTTTGAGTCGACTCAATAGCTTGAGTCGGCTCAAAAGCAGCCGGCCTCATGCTCGTACCACCTTCCATTCTGACATACATATTTCTCATCAATGCCATGTTTCGTATATTGTTTCTCATACCCATTCCCCACCCTATGTCCCAACCATTTCCTACCCGTGCCCCACCCACGCATCACCCAGGAAACCCTGTCCCTCTCCCGCCCCTATCGCCTTGTGTCTATGGCTGGAATGGTGCTGCTGCTCGCCCTCCCCATCTCCCTTCCGGTATGCCGCTGCTCCCCCTCCCCCTCCCCCTCCCCCTCCCCCTCCCCCTCCCCCTCCCCCTCCCCTCTTCTCTACGCCCTCCCATTCCTTGTTAAGATGCTGTTTGACTTTCCTCCATCCCCGACGGACCATTCTCCTCTCAAAAGTTTCGTTGCCTTTTCATTAAGATGCTGTTTCCGCATTCTCTATTCCAACCATTCCCAACCGCGGCATGGCCCATGATGGACCAATGCTTGGGGGGGTGGAGTGGGGTCGACCAAAGTGGAAATCGCATAGTCGTTTCTTGGAAAACAATTGTAGAAGCAACCACAGAAGGTCTGAACATTGCAAACTGGGTTCTTTGGAGAGTTAGGAAGTTGCCCAAATAAGATAAAGTATCCTCTTATATGTCAGCTGGATGGAAGCTCTGTTGCCTTTCCAGCAGTCATGCCCCTTTCTTCCCATCTCTCCTCTCCCTCTCCCTTTCATCACCAAGCCTTCCATCCGAATCTCCATTACTTCCCATCTCCTCTCACCCGTTTCTCTTTCCCTCCCTTCCACACTCTCCCCTCTGAATCCTCACTCCATGTCCACCCTTCCCTCACCCCTCCCACTCTCATCACCCTCGCCCTGGTATCCCATCCAGTGGGTCAAAGCAGGAAGCCCCATGGCCTCCAAGCTGCCTCTCCATTCACCACACGAGTACCTCGACCAACTTTCCTCCGCCACTTCCTCCTTTACCTTCAAGCCGCCTGCCACACGCACGGACCACTCCTCCCTCCCTGATGACAACGACTCCACTGGAGGCGAGTCGTACCCTCTGCTCACTGTCTCTGACAGCAGCAGCAATGGAAGTAGGCTCGGCAACAGCAGCGGCGGCAGCGGTAGGTTCGGCAACAAAAGCAGCAGCAGGAGCGGTGGAGGTGGTGGGGGAAGTGGAGGGGGTGTGATGAGCAGAAAAGGCAGCTGCGAGTCTTTCAGTGACACGGTAGGGAGCCCGCTTAAGGCCACCTCCTTTACAAGCACACCCGCCTCTCACAGCACTGTGGGGCGGGCGAGCGAGTGGGAGGGCAGTCCGAGGGAGCGTGGGGCAGCAGCACTGATGCAGGGCGGCACTGGCAGCAGCACTGGCGGCAGCAGTAGTGCGGCAGGCAGTGGTGTGGGAGGCGATGTGGAGGGGAGTAGCGGTGGTGTGGATGGGTGCGGTGGGGAGGGCGGGAGGGAGGCGAAGAGCCTGGAGGGGGATGGGAGGAGCAGCCATGCTTGGGGGGTGGAGGCGGGGAGGGGGCAGCGAGGGAGTGCTGTGCGCGTGGGTATGGGTATGGATCACACGCTGCTGCAGGCTGCTGTCACTCTCGAGTACTGGTGAGAGGGCGAGGGCCCGAGGGAAGGAGTGTGGGAGGGGGGCATAATGGGACAGGGGAGGGGTGAGATGGGGCCACAGGTGAGTACAGATCACACTCTGCTGCAGGCTGCCGTGACTCCCGAGTGTAGCGAGGTTCTCGAGGGGCCGAGGCAGGAGGTAGCGAGGGTAGCTGCGTGGGACTTGGGTGGGGAGAAGTGGGGGCCACAGGTGGGCATGGTTCACACACTGCCACAGGCTGCTCTCACTCCCGAGCACTGGTGAGAGTGAGCGAGGTGGCGAGGGGAGTAGCATGGGACTAGGATGGGGAGAATGGGGGGTGGGGGGGGTATACAGGTGGGTATGGATCACACTGTGCTCTAGGCTGCTGTGACTCCCGATTACTGGTGAGTCTGTTTTGAGGTGCCCACTAGGTGCAGGCTGCTGTCACGCCCGCATACCGGTGAGTTTGTTTTGGGGAAGAGGCGAGTGTGGAAGCGGGCGAGGAAAGGCAGTGCTGCAGTGGCAGCCACTGATGGCCACTGATGGGGTCTTTTCACTTTCCTCACTGGCAGTGTTTTCACTTTCGGGAATTCACAAACGTGACACAAGCTTCGTGTGGGTGGGTGGGCACGGACCCCACGCGTGAGTGCTGGCTGTCAGGCATGCTGTCTGTCTTTTGAGGCGCCTCAAAAGGCATGCTGTCTGTCTTTTGAGGCGCCTCAAAAGGCATGCTGTCTGTGGTAACAGGTTACCACAGCAGTTCACATGCGTGAGTGCTGGCTGTCAGGCATGATGTTCTGCTGTGGTAACCGGTGTTGGGGCTTGCGTTCTGTGGATGTTCACTCGGTTATGCGCCATCTCCTCCATTCCTCCCTCCTTCCTCCTCCCCGTTTTAAACATCTTCCTGTTCATTGCCATGGGGTGGGGTGTGACAGAGGGTCAGGGATCAATACCATCAACAGCCTCCCAACCTCTCCTCCCCTCTCAACCCCTCTCAACCCCTTAAAATCCCCTCCCGCCTCCCCTCCGCGTCCCTGCAGGCTGCTGTTCTTCGCCATGGGGTGTGGCACGGGGTCAGGGCTCACAGCCATCAACAACCTGGCGCAGGTGGGGTTGAAAAAGGGAGTGATGGGGTTGGGGAGACAAGGGAAAGGAGCGGGGGAGGGAGAGGGAGAGTGTCAGGGCTCACTGCAATCAACAACCTGGCGCATGTGAAAGGGGAGTGAAGGCGCAGACCGGAGGGAAGGTTATACAGGTGGACGGGTAGGGAATGAAGGGCGCGAGGTAAGGGGGGTTTCCGTCAGTCTAGTGGGCCAGTGGAAGCACATGGGCGCTGAGATAAAGGCGCCGAAGCGAATTGGGCGATGTGCCAACACCTTAGAGAAGAAACTTTGAATAAATTTGTGCAGGTGGGTCGGCCCTGCATTGCGCCGAGAATAGATTCATCTGACAAGAATGCATCCAATCCAAGCACACTCAACCTTCCCCAACTCATGCTTCCTCCTCCCCCCCACTCTCCTCTCCGTCCCACCCCGCCCTCTCCCTTCCACTGGCGACTCTCCCAGGTCCTGGTGCCTTGCTGCTCTCACCAACTCCCAAGTGGACTCGCAAGTCAAATCAAAGCTGTAACGCACCCAAAGCTGTAACGCACCCAAAGCACACAAATGCTCCCCCCTCTGGTTCCCCTTCTCCCTGTCTACCCTTCCTTCTTGCTTTTATTTCTTGCACCCTTCTCCCTGGCTCCCATCAGGTGGCGGAGTCTTTGGGTTCTGCAAGTGTGGGCGCCCTGGTTGCTCTTGTCAGCATCTGGAACTTTCTAGGAAGGATGGCCGCGGGGTAGGTCTGTGGATCATGCGGATTGTTGGCGACGTTGATGGCCTTATGTAGCGAGGTTGTTTTTGAGACGTCTCAAAAACAACCTCGCTACACGTGCTTATCTCTCTCTGACTTAGCCGCGCCATCCGTGACTTACGCCTTTTTGTTCCATACTGCTTTTCATAAAGACCTCCCTATCTTTGGAATATGATATGACATCTTCACCTACCTTTGTTGCTTCTGTGCCTTTTCGTTATTACCCTCTCACTCCTGAACATTTTGTCCTTTTCTATATTTCCCGCCTCTCGAAGTTCCTCTCGCTGCAACACACAGCTTCTCCCTGCCCCACTTCTCCGCTTCTCTCCCTTCCTCCCACTGCACCATTCTGTCCTCCTGTCGCATCACTCTGTCCTCCTGTCGCACCACTCTGTCCTCCTGTCGCACCACTCTGTCCTCCTGTCGCACCACTCTGTCCTCCTATCGCACCACCCTGTCCCCTGTGCCTGCTTATCCCAGCAATTCCCAACACGCGGCTCTGCATCAGTCCTCTCCTTCTGCGTCCCTCCTCCCCATGTACCAGTGCCATGCTAATGCGCTCCGCTCCGCCCACGCTGCCCCTCACATCCTCCCACCATGTCTTCCCCAACTTTCTCTCCACATCTCGCTCTCCCCAGTCTTCCGCCCATCTGGTCCACCTCCTTCCCTTTCCCACCACACACGCCCTACCACCCTACCCTCTCCCCCACTTTCCCCCATTTTTGCTCTCCCTACTCCTACGTGCTGAAGCTGCGTTTTTCAACACGCCGCAAAGATACCTACCCCCTCCCGTCTCCCCCCCAGCTACGTGCCGGAGCAGTGCTTGAAGCGCTGGGGCATGCCGCGGCCCCTCTGCATGTTTCGACGCACGTGGCTCTTTAGTTGACAAAAACATCAGCCCCTTCTTACCCCCCCCACCCCTCCTCCCCACCAGGTACGTGTCGGAGCAGTGCTTGAAGCGCTGGTGCACACCACGGCCTCTCTGCATGCTGCTCGTGCAGGCCGCCATGGGGTGCGCGCACCTGCTCTTCAGCATCGGGGGTGAGTGCCATGCCGTGAGTTGAAGTGGCCTTTGGAGGTCGTGGAATGGGAAGGTGTTAGGAGTTAGTAGTACTTGTATGGTCAGTGCTTCTGCAGGCAGCATGGGTGCCCACCTCATCTTCAGCATCAGAGGTGGGTTGAGGACTTTCTAGCAGGCGCCAATTCAACGAAGTGAGCTGACTTTTTGAGTCGACTCAAAATGAATTTCTAACAGGCGCCTCTTTAAGGGTGCTGCTGCAGGGTTCTATAGGTGCAATGCTTAGGTGCTGTGCTTCTGTGTAGAAGTTGGGTGTGCCTGCTGCTACCCTCCATGGGATGGGGTGTATGCACAAGCACCCTGCTGCTGCTCCCATTCCTCACCCCCTCTCATTTCCAAACCCTAGCTGTTCCCAAACCACCCAAGACACACCCCAGCGGACTCAAACCCATCCGCCCATCTCTCTCCCCATTCCCACACCCCTCTTCCCACCGCACTCTTCGCATTCATGACAGTTTCCTTGCCCCAGTACCTCCACCTGCCCACCCTCTGCTTCTCTACTCCCTCAGCAGCAATGGTGGGGCTGGCACACGGGGCATTGGATGCTGCTGGTTACCACCTTTCCACTGCATCAGTGCAGCATCCTTCCTGCTTGAATATTGCCCCTCTACCTCCCAACCTGCGCTAATCGGGTCCTATGCGTGCGTGCCCCTGTCTCTCCACCCACAGACCCACTGTTCCTCTACCCAGCAGCAGCGCTGGTGGGGGCGGCACATGGGGCGCATTGGACGCTCATGGTGACCACTGCTTCTGAGCTCTTTGGGCTGAAACACTTTGGGGCGCTCTATAATACGCTCAGGTGAATATGCACTCTCAGGTGAATATGCACCCTCAGGTGAATATGCACTCTCAGGTGAATATGCACTCTCAGGTGAATATGCACCCTCAGGTGAATATGCACTCTCAGGTGAATATGCACTCTCAGGTGAATATGCACTCTCAGGTGAATATGCACTCTCAGGTGAATTTGCACTCTCAGGTGAATATGCACTCTCAGGTGAAAATGCACTCAGGTGAATATGCACTCTCAGGTGAATCCCCACACACTCAGGTGAAGACACCTATTTCAGGTGAACATGCAGCCTCAGTTGAAACCCACTCGTTGTCTCTGTGATCATATGTTCATTGCCCATTCCACGGTGCCACTCCAGTTTGTTTGCCTTTGTCCATCCTCACCCTCCTTCCCCTCCTTGCCTCCCTTACCCTCCTTCCCCCCTTTCCCCACCTCTCCCCCATTCCCCCCCTCCCTCCCTTCCCTGCTTCCCTTCCCCGTCCTCCCGTCCTTCCTCTTCCTCCCTGCCAGCATATCATCCACAGTGGGCTCCTACTGCCTCTCTGTCAAGCTCGCCGGCTACATCTACGACCGTCAATCTGCGATCCAACGGTCAGCCTTCCTCCACCTGCAAGGCCTCTCCTCCGCCTCCCCCTCCCTCTCTCCACCCTCAATCACCGCCATTGCAAACTGGGGCACAGAGGCAGCAGCAACAGCGGGGCAAGTAGGGGTAACAACGGAGGCACAGCTAGTCCTGGAGGAATCACAGCTGCCCCACCGGTGTATGGGCCCAGACTGCTTCCGACTCACGTTCCTTGTGATGGCCCTCGTGTGCGTCGCTGGCATATGCGCTCTTCTGAACCTCGTGGCACGCACAAGACGGCTGTACCAGGTGAGGGGTAGGGGGTGAGGGGTAGGGGGTGAGGGGTAGGGGGTGAGGGGTAGGGGGTGAGGGGTAGGGGGTGAGGGGTAGGGGGTGAGGGGTAGGGGGTGAGGGGTAGGGGGTGAGGGGTAGGGGGTGAGGGGTAGGGGGGAGGGGTAGGGGGGAGGGGTAGGGGGTGAGGGATAGGGGGCGAGGGATAGGGGGCGAGGGGTAGGGGGTGAGGGGTAGGGGGTGAGGGGTAGGGGGCGAGGGATAGGGGGCGAGGGATAGGGGGCGAGGGGTAGGGGGTGAGGGGTAGGGGGTGAGGGGTAGGGGGTGAGGGGTAGGGGGTGAGGGGTAGGGGGTGAGGGGTAGGGGGTGAGGGGTAGGGGGTGAGGGGTAGGGGGTGAGGGGTAGGGGGTGAGGGGTAGGGGGTGAGGGGTAGGGGGTGAGGGGTAGGGGGTGAGGGGTAGGGGGTGAGGGGTAGGGGGTGAGGGGTAGGGGGTGAGGGGTAGGGGGTGAGGGGTAGGGGGTGAGGGGTAGGGGGTGAGGGGTAGGGGGTGAGGGGTAGGGGGTGAGGGGTAGGGGGTGAGGGGGTGAGGGGTAGGGGGCGAGGGGTAGGGGGCGAGGGGTAGGGGGCGAGGGGTAGGGGGCGAGGGATAGGGGGCGAGGGATAGGGGGCGAGGGGTAGGGGGTGAGGGGTAGGGGGTGAGGGGTAGGGGGTGAGGGGTAGGGGGTGAGGGGTAGGGGGTGAGGGGTAGGGGGTGAGGGGTAGGGGGTGAGGGGTAGGGGGTGAGGGGTAGGGGGTGAGGGGTAGGGGGTGAGGGGTAGGGGGTGAGGGGTAGGGGGTGAGGGGTAGGGGGTGAGGGGTAGGGGGTGAGGGGTAGGGGGTGAGGGGTAGGGGGTGAGGGGTAGGGGGTGAGGGGTAGGGGGTAAGGGGTAGGGGGTGAGGGGTGAGGCTTGATGGGTGGGGGTTGAGGGGTGAGGGGTGGGGGCTGGGGTTGAGGAGCGAGCATAGGCTGAAGGGGCCAGGCTGCCTCCGACTCACCTTCCTCGTCACAGTGTGCCTTGCTGGCATCTGTGCTCTTCTCAACCTTGTCACCCGCACAAGACAGCTGTCTGTACCAGGTGAGGGGTGCAATGCAGGGTGACCAGAGGGCTAGCAGGGGCTCTCCTGCTTCCGCCTCGCCCCACCTTCCCTCACCTTCCTCGTGTTGGCCCCCTTGTGCCGTGCTGGCATGTTTGTTCTACTCGACTCAACCTCGTGTGATCCGCACACGGCGACTGGTCCAGGTGAGGGGTGGTGGGCAGTGAGGGTGGCATGTGAGTTAACTCAAAGGCCTTCAGTCAGGGTCGACGTGGTACTGGGAGTTGGCTACACTTGTCTCAATCTTGAGAATATTGGAGGCAGTACATTTGGGTCGACTCAAAAGCCTTCGGCGAGGTGGGAGTGGGGAGCAATCAGAGGGTGACTAAGTCAAATGAGGGGATTCACTGAGGCATGGCCCTCCTTGCCTGCAGTGGAGAGTAGAAAGTGATGTGGCTGGTGCTGAGAACGTGTCAAATGAGGGGATTCACTAAGTCCAAGGCATGCGGTGCACTGCTCTTAGGGCCGGGTGCAGGCCGAGCCCTGAGAGTTCAGGATTGGGGTGCACAGGCCCAAAATCCTAGCACAGGCCCAAAATCCTAGCACAGGCCCAAAATCCTAGCACAGGCCCAAAATCCTAGCACAGGCCCAAAATCCTAGCACAGGCCCAAAATCCTAGCACAGGCCCTGGGACGACTTTTGAGGCGCCTCAAAGGCCGGGTGCATGGGTTTGAACAGGAGTGGGGTGAGCGTGGCACACATGGGATTCCGGTGCCTTGCCCTTGTCATGCATGCACTCATGTGTGCAGCCTGCACATGCAATCACGTTTGCACTCATCAACACGTACAGATGTTGCATGCCCATGCATCGCATGCAGGAATCTATATCCCTCCCCAACTGCTCTCTCCTCCCCGTGTTTGCCTTGCCTTCTGTTCCGTCCGCATTCAGGAGTTCCATAAAGTGCAGAGGAGCTAAGCATTGCTGTAGAATGGGTGCCAGTGCATTGTTATTGTATTTCTACATATCTTTACATGTACCATACTTCCAAATGTATATCCATGTAATTATAACATCGTACTGTTTTTCAATTATGAACCCTATTCTGGAAAGGCTTCAGTGGAACGGGTGATATCCAAGGAGAATCAGTCAGGTGGTTGAAAGCTTACAAAAAAGGGAAAGGGGGCCTACAACAGCAGAAAATAAGCACGAATGAACTTAAAAAAAAAAAAACAACAACAAAAAAAAAACATGATGTGTCTCTTCTTACACCTAATCTTAGCCCATCTACAGTTGCATTGCTCCACGTGCAAGCGCTAACCGCTCTGTATGCTCCAACAGTACCTGCATAACACACATGCGACCAGACAGATGAAAATGAAACCAGCACATCTTTCTTGCAAAACGTCACAGAAAAAGACCGGTGATTGAGTTCACTCCCTCATTCCCTCCACTCTCCAAGCGACATCCTCTTTGACATGAAACCTCACCTTTTGAGGCGCCTCAAAACTCTCCAAGCGACATCCCCTGCACGAAACCTCACCTGTCTCATGCGGTGCGCTATGGCCTTGCATCCCGTGACTGCGAGCTTCACCACCTCCTCAAACGTGTCCATTGGCAGCTTGGCGTCCATCTGTGGCAGTGCAGGGCATTAGTAGGAGAGCAAACACAGGGATTCATGGGTGCTTGGGGCTCAAAGGAGCGGGCACCGGACAGCTTCACCACCTCCTCAAACGTGTCCATTGGCAGCTTGGCGTCCATCTGTTGCAGCGCAGGGCGTGAGGAGGGCAAGGAGGGCAAGGAGGGCAAGGAGGGTGTTCTGAGACGTCTAAAAAATTCATGGCCTTGCAGCCCGTGACTGCAAGCAACCCCACCTGCAGCAATGAGATCTTATCAGACGATGGCAAGTAGCCCCCTGTGAGATGCATGATTGCATTACCTGTGACTTCTAACTGTGACTCGAGCAGGCATGGGAGCAAGCAACCCCATAAACCCCACCTGCAGGAGTGAGATCTTATCAGACGATGGCAAGTAGCCCTCTGTGATTTGCATAACTGTATTACCAGCCACCGTATCACCTGCAACTGTACCAACTGTAACTTATGAAGCCATGAGCGCAAGCCACCCCACCTGCAGCAGTGAGATCTTATCGGACGATGGCAAGTAGCCCACTGTGACGTCTGGGCCGCCCCCACTGTCCTCCACATAGTTCAGGTCTGCATCGTGAGAGAAGGGAGGAGAGTGGGGAGCAAGGATAAAAAATACGACCGAAATTTTGATTTTCCATCGTATTATACGGTATCGTATTATACGTTAGTTTTAAACGGTTTAATACGGTCATTAGTTACATTTAAGTTTCAAATAAAAATACGGTCGTTCTTTTCGGCCGAAAGTTTAAAACCGAGACAGTGTATATCGATTTTCAACATTCAGACCCGTCGAGTTCAATATGGGGGATTTCTTGCGAAGTCTTGTGAGTCCCGACAGAATTTGGGTCGAGTCGCGTATGTCAGGAAAATGTCGAGGCGCGACATTTTGACATTTGACGAACGGGAAAGAAATGCGTACCCGTTTCGCAGAGTCGTTGATGTCGTTCGCCGAATCGCGTCGACACCAATTCGACGAGGCGCGACGTTTTACACATTTGGCGAACCGGCCAACTTTCTAACCCGTTTCGCGTATTCGTCAACACAATTCGCGCTTTGCAATGTGTTTTCGCATGCAGTCGTGGTGCTGAAAACAATTGCATGCGATGCATTTCCAGCCAATAGCAAGCACCCAATCAACTTCCCTCTCATCTCAACCACACCTTAAACACCACTCGACAAAGCAGCACCAGCAAGCTCTAAGAGGTACTTATTGGTAGTGAAAAACGTCACTCGACACATTCATCTTCACTCTGGCTGCCTTACCTCATAACACCGATCTGCCCCACTTCAGCTTAGCTCAGTCTTGATCGACGCCATGGTGCGACCGGCTTCATAATATTGGAAGCATGTGATTAAGATTAATAACGCAGAGGATAAGGTCGTTGGTGCTACATGCATTCATTGCAAACTTCCCGTGACGGCTAATGCGACTAGGATAAAAGAGCACATTGTCGGCACTGCTAACAAGAAGGATCGGAACGTCGCGATGTGCAAATCGGAGTACGCTAAGCAGCGGCGGGCGACAGCCGATCAGGAGCTCTCGTCCACGGGGAATGGTTCGGGAGGATCGAACCGTGCCTCCACGTCAACGGTTGACCCTCCTCCGCCCGCACGTCGCTCTCGGCAGAGAGATATCCGTGACATGACTGATACCAATGCGCAGAATCGGCTAGATTACCTGTGGGCTGCTGCAGTTGCCGAGAACGACCTCGCCTTCAACGTCAGCAAGTCGAAGTCAATCCAAGCTTTCGTTGACGCGGCGGTCGTGTACGGGAAGGCGTACACCCTCCCTACCCCCTACAAGGTATCCGGCCCGCTGCTCAACAAGCTGAAGGCGGACACGGAGGATCTTGTGCGGCCGATGAAGGAGAGCTGGAAGACAAGCGGGTGCACGCTCTCCGTGGATGGGTGGACATGCATCAAATCCCACGGGATGGTGTGTGTCATCGCCCAAAATGACACTGCTCCCGTCATTGTCGACATCGTTGACTCGAAGACCGCCAAAAATACCGGGGTCTACTTGGCGGGTCTTATTGAGGGAGCGATGAAGGAGGTGGGGCCTAAGCATGTCGTCCAAGTCGTGATGGATAACGCCTCTAACAACAAAACCGCCGCCAACAACCTTCGCTCGGAGTATCCCTATGTCATCTTCACCAACTGCGCCGCCCACTGCCTAGATCTCATGTTGCACGACCTCGGCAACATCCCTGCTGTTAAACGCGTGCTTGGCCAAGTGCACCGCGTGGTGATGATGGTCAAAGGCAGCGCCTCTGCCGTCATCTTGTTCCATGAGCTTTTTAGCAAGCTCTCCTTGGTGAGGCCGGGTGCAACGAGATTCGGCACCCAGGTCATCATGCTGGGCAGGTTCCTGGAGGTGAAGAGGGCGTTGAGGGCGATGGTAACCAGTGAAGAATGGGAGGAAGTGGCGGTGGCACGGACGGAGGAGGGGATGGAGGTTAGGAAGCTCCTTTTGGACGATGTTTTTTGGGACTGTGGGATGGCGGTGCTCCGCCTCATGACTCCGATCTACGAGGTTCTTCGAGCCGTTGACACACGGGCTCAAGTCATGGGCCAAATCTATGGCCTCATGCTTGAGGCCACGGTCAAGACAACCGAAGCGGCTGAGGTGGCTGGTAAGTGGGTGGGCTGGGTGCTTTCAATTATGCTGTCAGTTTTGTACTTTCTGTATTGTTCAGTTTGTTTGTTTTCTGTTTTGTACATTCTGCTTTTGTACTCTGTTTTGGACATTCTGGTTTTGTGCATTCTTTTTTTTATTCTATTGTGTACATTATCTGCTCAATTTCCACCGTGAGCAGCCTCCCACTTCATCAGACGGACGGAACTACTAGCCACAAAGGATAGAAGCACCTTTTTGACAAGAGGAGGTGGGATGCACAGCTACACAACTGCCTGCACGCCATGGGGTGGCTTCTCAACCCCCGTGCGGGCACGGCTCTATGCGGACCTGGGCAACGGCACGCTCAAAGAAGGGTGTGCCATCATCCCGGCCGAGTCGGAGGACGAGGAAGGGGAGGCTGGAGAGGAGGAAGAACCCGTGGAGGAAGAATGCACCATTGATTGGTCGGAGTTTGGGAACATCGGCAGGAAGAGGAAGGGGAAGGCGGGTGAGTCATCAAAAGGGAAGAAGGGGAAGGGCATCGGTTCATGCAAGGGAATGGGGAAAGGAAGAGCACGGGATGAGGAGGAGGAAAAGGAGGCGGCAGACAGCAATGGGGAGGAGAAAGAACCTGCCAGGAAGAATCCCAAGGGACGAGATGCCTGGGATTGCAGCGACGGTTCAAGTGGGGAGGAGGAAGAGGACGAGGAGGAGGAGGACGAAGAAGAGGAGGATGAGTAAAGTGAGTGTAGAGGCAGTAATAGTGGACCTTTGCAGGCCTGTTTCTCCTTAGAGTAGGTTGTTATCGCCTTCATAGTCATTGTTGTAGACATTTCAGTAGTTTCTGGATTTTTTTTCGAGTCAAAAACGGCCAACAAAAAAACGGCTGAAATCTGGCCAAACACACCGTATTATACGACCGAAAAAAACGGCCCGTATAATACAATGGCCGTATTTTTAAACCTTGGTGGGGAGAGCGGTGAGGGGAGTGGGGAGATGGTGGACTTAAGTGGGGAGATGGTTGACTTAAGTGGGGAGATGGTTGACTTAAGTGGGGAGATGGTTGACTTAAGTGGGGAGATGGTTGACTCAAGCGCTGCACTCACTTAGGAGCAGCATGGCATAAAGGTAACCAGACGCGCTGCAGGCAACCACGTCTCATCCTCTTTGAGAAGCCTCAAACGTCAGTGCTTACCTAGCAGCGGCGTGGCGTTGAGGTAACCAGAGGCGCAGCTGGTAACCAGGTCTCGCATGGGGATGCCTGCATGGCAGAGGGCGAGCGTCGCTGCATTGATGCACGCGGAGCGAGTGCCTGGGAGGGAGCGGAAGGGGAGGGGTGAGTGTGCGTGCGTGTGTGAGCATGTCATGTGGCTTTGGGGGTTGGGAATCTGATGGAGATGGACGGAATGGGGTGTGTGGCAAGGGCAAGGGCTGAATGCGATCCATGAGAGAGGATGGAAACGGGTATGCTGGGGGGGAAGGAAGGGGAGAAAAAGGGCATGCTGGTGGTGGGCCAATGCGGAAACACTTATCCGGGCTACACTTGTGAGCGAACAGCCCAATAAACTTGTGAGAATGACATTCCACGAAAGCGGGTCTAAATGGAATGAGGCCGCACCACATGCACAGCACAGCACAAAGGCAAAAGCCGTCTGCTTGTGTGAACGAGCGCACATCCAATGCTCCAAGAGTTCACACAAAACACAAAAGGGATATGCATAACCGACATGAATAGATCGAATCATACTGCTTCCTGCAGTTCGAAACCAGCCTTTCTCACATGAATAACCTCACGGAAAACGACTTGATGGAGGATAGTATCGATGGGATCATGGGAGACAAACGGGATGGACAGAGGATGTTGACGGTGGAAAAGGAATGGACGGAGGTGATGCAGGCATCCCAGCGTGGCTTACCGCCATCGGCTTGCAAGACTTGAACAAAGATGTCGATCTGAGGCACAGTGCATAGAGGAAGGGAAGGGATGGGGTGTGAATGGAGTGGAATGTGATGATGGGATGGCGTGTCACATGTCGATCTGCCGTGTGTAGCAAGAGACATGGAACAGAACGGAATGAGACGGGGTGATTGCAAGTCACGTGTGAGATGCAGGAGAGGAGAGACGAGAGGAGGGCATGAGCCCGCAGCGCACCCTGTGTGTGAGACACTGAGACCCCCATCACATACAGCCATGACTTCCCTGCGTGCGAGGCAGCTGGTTTTGAGACGTCTCAAAACCACATACAGCCATGACTTCCCTGCGTGCGAGGCAGCTGCTCATGTCACCTGTGCACCACTGACAAACCCCCATCACCCCTGTGCGCCAGAGACAAACCTGCATCACCGCTCATCACCACGCATCACTGCTTATCACTCACCTGTGTGCGCGGCAGGAGCTCGAGCATGATGGCTGCTTCTAGTGTTTGGCGGATGACCAATGAGATCTCCACTGACCGCCTGATACAGTCACATGCAGTCACAAAACAGCCACACCCACACGGTCGCCCTCTCACATTCACACAGACTCAAAATCACACAACAGATGTACAAACACACACACACGCACGCACGCACACACGCACACACACACAGACTGAGCGGCACATAGGGGACCTTGTGTTGTGAGTGTGAGATACGTGAGCTGATCCATATAGCCACATGGAAAACAACCATATGCCCCACAAAGTCACATTCGCATCTAACCACATGCCCACATAACCACATGCCCACATAACCACATGCCCACATAACCACATGCCCACATAACCACATGCCCACATAACCACATGCCCACATAACCACATGCCCATATAACGACCTGCCCAGAAAACCACATGCCGGATAGCCATCTGTGCATTTAACATACCATGTCCGGATTGCCACATGGCACTGCACCATGTCATGCCATACCCATTCCATGCCATACCCATTCCATGCCATACCCATTCCATGCCATACCCATTCCATGCGCGCAGCCCACCAGTCCATCTTCGATGCTGCGCCCCTGAATGCCACCATACCATACTCACACCGCATGCCACACCTACACATTCCATGCCAAACCTCCTGCACATTCCATGCCAAACCTCCTGCACATTCCATGCCAAACCTCCTGCACATTCCATGCCAAACCTCCTGCACATTCCATGCCAAACCTCCTGCACATTCCATGCCAAACCTCCTGCACATTCCATGCCAAACCTCCTGCACATTCCATGCCACACCCACCGGTCCATCTTTCCTCGTCGCCGCCGCTCCCCCGTGCTGAAGGAAGCCATACCATACTCACAGCGCACCACCGCCCTGTCTGGAAGGGCATCCGCCCTGTTGGTCACCTGGGGGACACATGGGATGGGGGCGGAGCGAAATGAAGGTGGTACAAGCGTGCAAGGTGAGGGACGAAGAGCAGCCATACTCACACACACACACACACACACACACACACACACACACCGCACCCTAAAGCCTGTCTGGAAAGCGTCTGGACGGTTGGTCACCTGGGAGATATGGAAATGAGAGATACGGGGGGAGAAGGGAGGGGGCCAGGAGGGGATGATCACGGCGGAGCACATGCAGTAACACTTCCTGCGTAGTGATCAAACCTGGTGGGTAATACTCGCACTGCCTGCCACCACCTTCATCCAGCACCAACGCTTCCCAACCCCATAACTAGCAGCAGGGTTTAAGGTTTCTTGCAGCCACAACAACCCATAAGCGAACCCTGAACCCCAAACTCCAAACTCTCAACCCTGCACATCAAAACCGTACTCCAAACTTTGAACCTAAAACTACCCCACACACACAAACTTGAATCTCAAACCCCCTAACTCTGAACCCTAAACTCCAAACCCTGAATCCTAAACCTAAACCCCATGCTCCAAAACCCTGAACCCCGATAACAGTGAAACCCGAGCTCAGAATCCTGAACCCTCACCTCACGCGGGCCGTACACGACTGCCAGCACCTTGGTGTTGCCCATCTCAAATGACGCAGAGCTGATGGGCGCCAGTGGGAGGAGGGGGGGGAGGTGGAGGGATGGAGGGAAGCACGACGGGGAGTGTGGGGAGAACTGGCAGAGGGGAAGAAAGGTGCGGAAGCAACGAGCAAGAAGGGAAGGGAGTGGAGGGAAGAGGGCAGGCGACGAGAGTGGGAGGACGACAAGCTTGGGCGGGCAGGCAAGCATGGGGCGGGCAGACAAACATGAGGCGGGCAGACAAGCATGGGGCGGGCAGACAAGCATGGGGCGGGCAGACAAGCATGAGGCGGGCAGACAAGCATGGGGCGGGCAGACAAGCATGAGGCGGAGGAGGGGGGAAGTCGGCGGAAGCACACTGAGCGCATGTGTTCTCACCCACCCATCAGCAGAGCGCAGCACACCCAGCTCGCACTTAAGCTGCCGCAGCTGCACGCGCACAGGGGAGGAGACGCAAGGCAAGGGAGAGGCAAGGCAAGGGAAGGGCAAGGCGAGTGGAGAAAAAAGAGAGGGGAAGGGAAGAGGAGGCATACTCAGCGCGGGGGGAAAAGGGGAAAAGGGGACGCACAGAGGAGATGAAGCACGCAGTACAAGGGCTGGCGTTTGAACAGGAAAGGACAAGCCGGCGGTAATGCTCGCGATTCATAACTCTATCTACCGGGTGGCGACGCGGCCCGCCACCGCATCTGGCGGGTAGGAAACTGCACGAGCTCAACGGACGGGTCGTCCCGGCTGATGGGCGGCGCTACTGAACGATTCTCCAAGCGAACATTTCTGCAACACGTGGGACGGTCCAACGGTTACCTCTTTGGGTCGTCGGCCGTCGAGCCGCAGCTGCTCCGGCGACACGAACTCCATCGCCGCGTGAACTGCCTCGACCTAGGGGGGGAAAATGGCGGTTATGAATGACTCGCGTCGGATACGCTCGGGATCGTTTGAAAGTCTGGTTTCAAAAAACCAGAAACAATATTCAAGACTTCCGCAGACGTAGCGCCTGTAACTCAGTGGATAGAGTGTTCGCTTCCTAAGCGAAAAGTCCTAGGTTCGACCCCTAGCTGGCGCGCCTTTTGTTTTGCCCAGTCGGACTTCCTACATTGTTTGAAACTTCCTCAGAACGAGACCTCCCCGTCCGCCTAATCTTCCAAGGGTCTTTAATGAGAGTTTTGCGAGGCGGTGAATCCGCGCTTCCATTTATTACCGCCACCATCGGACTTGCACGTTCGGCCGACATCAACAATACCGAGGCTTCCCTGCGTCGCCTTCGGTTTTCTTATTGCCCAACCTCGAGTTCTCGGGGTTCCTGCCTAACTAGGGTAGTCTCTATATTATCTCGCGTCCTTCATTTTATCGTCAGTCGATATTGTCACGGCTTCATTATTCGTTTTCCCCGCAACTCTGTTTTACAACTCATAACATCTAGTATCAGAGCTACTTACCTAGTTCACCCCGCTTTTCACGGGTAGTTTAGTGGCACGGGTGTGACTGGTACGGTGGGCTGCAAAATGGCTGGTTGCGAAGTTTATTAAATTAAACTTGCCCGACTCTGATAGCTTTTGCGCTTGCAATGTTGCCGGATAGTCATGGATACCCAATTGCCTACTAGACGTAGATTGCGACACATGGATCAGGCGGCTTTCGACAGACTGATGCAGCAAGTGGCAGAGATGCAGAACAGCATGAAGGCATTAACGACGGAAGTGGAACAGTTACGTGAAGAAAACTCCGAGCTACGCCAGGCGTGCGGTGAAGCGCGCCAGGAGTCGCTCGTTGACGAAGGCGAGACCATCAGTCAAGCAGAGAGCGGCAACTCAACAGGAGAGGTCACACGAGGCATCGAAGAAGAAGATAGGCGGACAGCGCCGGCAATAACGATTGCATTTACTACAATCAATATCAAACCAACGAGCCTGCCCCCGATCAACCCTTCGGACAAGAACAGTATAATTAAGGGGTGGTTGTTCGGCGTGGAGGTCTTCTTTGCTGCTGCAAATGTCGATGATGACGCCACTCGTATTAATTATGCGGCATCGCTTTTCCTAGGACATGCACTTGAGTGGTGGCGACGAGCCTTGGACACGAGGACTTGGACAGGTGTGAGATAGGTGCATACCGGACCTCATACTCTGGAAATCGAAGGGCATCATCAATATTTGGTGTGACCATAATTCGCACATGGAAGGGGTGGGGCGCAGCCAAACGAGAGCGTTTCAAGCATGTATCCGCCTCGGAACACGCTCGCATGAATCTGCGTTCGTGGTCGTAGTTGGCTTCTGTTCATGCTACATAACGTCATTTATGGCACTCGCCGACCAAGTGGACGACATGGTGGAATCGGAGCGATTGGATAAATACATTAGCGGCCTCAAATACGAGATATTGTACTAGGTGCGCCCGAAGACGCTCGACTACCTTCATCGAAGCCGAACAATTGGTAGAGTCTACAGATGCGCTGATGTAGTGGGCGAGGTCGAGTTCTTATGAGGGAGATTGATTTCGTGGACAGACCCAACAGGCCACGACTAACAGTGTCACAGGATCGAATTTCCACTCGAGAATGTTGCACTAAAGGTGAGTACAAGGCGTATTTATACTCAGAAATACATAGAAACAACAGATAATCCGAACCTTCGGGAACGCGCTCTTCTAGAATAGATAATCACAAGTGCGCATAAGCACGCAAGCCCATTGGCACTTCGGATTATGGCGAGATTACGCCTTGTACACCACTGTCGGTGCTGTCGGTGCCGTATAATGTAAATGTCGGTGCCGTATAATGTAAATGTCGGTGCCGAAAATACCAAATAAGTGAAATAATCGGAAAGCTCTAGAAAATAGAATAATAGTCCGATTGAGGTGAAATAAAGTGCAAATGAAAGAGGAAAATAAGGAGAATAAGATGGAGTAAAAATATGGAAATGAGAAATATGTCGAACGTCGGCGTACTCTCACACTTCCCCCCCTCAAAGCTGGGTGGTAGATGTAACACCCTGCTTGACAAGATAGTCGCGGAGAGAACGTCGGGCGTTACTCATGTCTTCTTCAGAGACCCAGCTGTCCTCAGAAGGATCATAGCCTTTCCAGCGTACGAGAAACTCCAGGGCGCCATGCCGACGACGACGATGTGCAAGCACAGATTCAACCTCGTACTCAAGTTCATCATTCACGAGGACTGGAGGCGGCGGCGGAGGTTGGCGTCCCGTGTACAGCTTATTTGGATCTTGATAGGGTTTAAGAAGCTGCACGTGGAAGGCGTTATGAATCTTCCAAGAAGCTGGTAGGCGCAAGCGGAATGTGACTAGAGTGACCTGCTCTTCTACGAGGAAAGGTCCGCAGAAGCGAGGTTGTAACTTGGATGGAAGGTGACCGAGGTTGAGGTTGCATGTGTTGAGAAGCACATGGTCACCAACCGCAATGGTATGATCACGTCGATGGCGATTGGCCAAGCGTTTCTGTGAAGACTGTATGTCCTGTAGACGCTTGTGTGTCCGATCCCAAAGCTGCTGCATTGTGGTAACGAAGTCGTGCGCGGGTTGGACAGTTGCAGGTACTGTCGGCTGTTGTGGAGTTAGTGGATGTCGTCCGTAACAGAGGAAAAATGGGGTCTCTCCTGTTGCGGCATGCTTCGCATGATTGTAGGCGAACTCCAACACCGGCAAGTGCAAGTCCCACTTGTTAATGTCGTCCTTGCACGCTGCGCGCAAGAGTTGTTCCACAATTTGGTTCAAGCGCTCTGTCTGCCCATCGGTCTGGGGATGATATGCAGATGACATTGCTAGGCGTGTCCCCATGAGCGACATGAGCTCTTTCCAGAACTTGCTAGTAAACTTGGGGTCCCTGTCGGATATGAGGGTTGTTGGGATCCCGTGCTGTGAGATGATGTGTTTGAGGAATAGCTGTGCCGTTTCCTCCGTGCGTGCGGTTGTATGTGTCGGAATGAAGTGTCCCATCTTTGAGAATTTGTCAATGACGACCAGGATGGCGTCATGCCCCGCGTTGGTAGGTGGTAAACCGGTGATGAAATCCAAGCTGACCACTTGCCAAGGCTGTTCCGAGACGGGTAAAGGCTGAAGAAGTCCTACTTTCTTCTGCTTACTGCTTTTCATCCGCTGGCACGTGTCGCACGAAGTGACAAACTTTTGCACGTCGTTTGCCATGTGAGGCCAGTAGTAGACTTTCGCAATCCCGGCAAGAGTCTTGTTACTCCCGAAGTGTCCAGCGTAGAGCACGTCATGGAATTCTTCGAGAAGCAACTACCGAAGAGGCGGGTAGTTGGGTACCCATATCTTCGTTGATCCTTTGCGTAGTGCGACGTCGTGGTCCCACTGCAACAATTTCTTTTTCTCTGCTAAGGGAATCTCGGGGTCGATGGTATACCCGTGCGTGAAGAGTCCCTTGAGTAGCGGATTCATCCCCTCAATGTGTATGGCGGCAACGTGTCCAGGTCGGCTTAGTGCGTCTGCCTTATTCTTGTGTCCCGGCTTGTACACGATGTCGTAGTCGAAGTGCGTCTCGAGGAAGTCAATCCACCTGACTTGTCGTCTGGAGAGGGTCGGCTGCGTTTTCTTTAGGCTACAATGGTCAGTGTAGACCGTGGTCTTTCTCCCTTCGAGGTAGCATCGCCATGTCTTGAATGCGGTGATGATCGCTAAGGCCTCTTTGTCGTGAATCGGGTAGTTGAGTTCTGCCCCGTGCAATTTCTTGCTGAGGTAAGCGATTGGTTGTAGTCCTTTCCCTTGGTCTTGCATCAAGACTGCTCCAACTGCTTGGTCGCTAACGTCAACTTCGATGACATAGTCTTTTTCTGGATCTGGCAGGATCAGGACGGGTGCGGACGTGAGTGCGGTCTTCAACTGCTCCATGGCTTGCTGGTGCACATCCTCCCACTTGAACGGTGTATTCTTCTTCAGTAGATTGGTGAGAGGTGTTGCAATCTTCGCATATTACGGCACGAACCGATTATAGTAGTTCGCAAAGCCAAGGAATTGCTGAAGTTCCTTCACGTTCTCCGGTGTCTTCCACGTACGTACGGCTTCGATCTTCTTTGGGTCGACATGGACTCCTTGAGCGCTCACCATGTGTCCAAGGAACTGAACTTCCTTCAAGGCAAACTCGCTCTTGGATAGCTTGACGTAGAATTTCTCCCGTCGAAGTATCTCGAAGACACGTCGTAGGTGTTCGATGTGCTGCTTCATGTCCCTCGAGTAGATCAGGATGTCGTCCAGTTACACCACCACGCATTCGTCGAGTAGAGGCCTAAGAATATGGTTCATTTCGGCCTGGAATGTAGCGGGTGCGTTGGTGAGTCCAAACGGCATGACGAGGTACTCGTAGGATTCGTATCGTGTCCGAAACGCTGTTTTATGGATGGAGTTATCCGCCATCCGGATCTGCCAATATCCCGATCTCAAATCGAGTTTTGAGAATACTGTGGCTCCACAAAGCTGGTCAAGTAGATCGTCGATCCGTGGAATCGGATACTTGTTCTTGATCGTCTGCTTGTTGAGGGCTCGGTAGTCGATGCACATGCGTAAGCTTCCGTTAGGTTTTGGTGTGAAAAGCACTGGTGCACCGTATGGTGATGTTGATGGTCGAATGAGTCCTTTGTCCAGAAGGTACTCGATCTGTCAAAATATGTTATATTTGTCTAGCCTGCAGTGGGGTACTCAATAGTGAGTACAACCCAATTTAGGGTTTGCTATATGTACTCAACTGCTTGCTAGTGAGCTCTCTCTTTCTCATTTCTAACTTCCTGCTGTTTCTTAACATGGAATCAGAGCAGGTCGACCCTTACGGGTCGATCCTGTGCATGGGCCCACCGTTAGCTTCCGCTGCTGCTCCTGCTGTCCTGCCTATCGCGC